TGTTGTAGGGTATAAAAATGAACACATATCAGCTGTGGGAACATTTCAGGAATCTGGCAAGATATCCACTAAGAGGACAAAAATTTTTTTTATGCCCTGCTAAAATTTTTAGAGAATTCAATGCAGGATGTATTTCCTATCTACTATTTCTCCTTTTGTTTTCGGTGAATGCCTTCCCAACCATCCCAAAAATTAAAATCAAATTTGGGAAATTGTCACATGACAATATGAGCCAAACCAAAAAACGGAGAAAAAGAGAACGGAGAAAAACTGCAACACTCCGTAAGATGGCTATTTAAATTGCCACAAGCAAATTGCCGGGCAGTGTTGCTGCACTGATTGCATTGATGCCAAATTAATTGGTTTGCTTTCTATGGCGATCATCATCGTTGTCAGGTTTCGGCAATGCCTTAAACGGCAAATTGCAAAACTGACATAATGTAGATGCCATAATAACAGCACCAATCAAAAATTTTCATTTTGTCCGTCTATCCGTCCGTCTGTCTGTTTATTCATCAAATGGATGCATTTGTGCCATCAGCACGTTTTGGCAGAAGTAAAAGTCAATTTTGATTTTCCTTGTCCGTTCCTCTCGTTTTGTGTTTTTTGATTTGTTCGATCTCTTACTCCCATTTGAGTTTTGTTTTTGTCTTATTTTGCTGAATAGAAAACAAAGATATAAAAGTGGCAACAAGCTGCATGTTATGCAATCGACAATTTTCGCTAAACAATGATGCAGCCGAAAACTCTTCCAACAACAGCTAACCCATTTGCGGGGGGAGGGAATAGTGGTGGTGGTGAAAAAAAAACGCTACAGTGATGCCTTCTCTGCTCCACTATGCACATACATACTAACGAGTCGGGCATACAACAAAATGTGGCACAATGCAACAGTGCCCCAGCTAACCACAGAAATCAAAACGATTGTAGTCAAACGACTCTCGGATGCAATGATGCTCCACAGACCTACCCCTCTCTGTTTGTGTGCAGTTTGGCTCTAAGCATTTGCCACTAAAAGTGTACCAACTGAGGACGGACCGATTGCAAGACATAAAAAGATGTTAGATGCTTAGATTTTTCGACGAATGGTAGAGAGCAGTAATTGATGTCAATATTCTTGCCCCCTTCCAATCAACTTGGTTTCGTTTTATTTTGCTGGGCAGGGGGATTCCAACACTCCTTAAAAAAATTCAGTTGTGAAAAGATTCATTTTTATCGGTTGGTGGCAGATTTATTGCTTAATATTTGGCATCATTGCCAAATTCTTCATCTTCATCTGATTGTGTTTCGCTGTAGTTAAAGGTTGATATTCATCATTGAATTATTTTAGGTGAATTAAGAAAAAGGAGGTTAGATTTGTTTTGCCTCATAACCTTGGGTAAATACGTATCTTATAAAAGAGGCTGGTAATTGGGAGAATCCCTTAATTAAAAAAATCTTTAAAAGCCAATCGGTGCTAAGCTGGTGTATACTTTGAGGCCCAACAACTCGGATGTTTTCAGAGCCTTCAGGCCGCATAATTTAACTGAGCGAAAACGTAACGGTCGGTTTTGCCGACAGATATATACCCTCAGCCAATGTTCGATTATTTAAATATATTTTGACTTGTGTTATGATTATTCAAATTGTTCACCCTCTATAGAGTAGGTTCCGAAGGAATGGGCCAATATTGTCCATTTCGTATCGAACCTAAATTAATATGATATAAAGAAGAAGGGGTTCGCAGATAAATATCATCTTCACAACAGATCCTGCGTTAACAAAAATATTTTGATGTTTGAAATTTAAAGAGATTTGGATACTAATTTCGCTTTCTTTGAGTGTTTTGTTCCTCAACAATCTTGATCCGTATGTGGTGGAGATACCAGCAGAAACGGTCCGATCTCTACCATCCTTATATCAGATTTTGTGTTAATGGAAATATTTTGTGTTAATGGAAATATTTTGTGAATTTCGCGTTTTACATTTTCTTTTTAATGGGGGAGGTACCAGAAGGAGTTAACCGATGTATTCCATCTCCACACCAGACTTTGGGTAAATAAAAATCTTACGATGTGTGCGATTTGAAGATAATCGTACTCTTACCTAGCATTTTATAGGAGTTGAAATTATTCAAAATTTTAAATATTTGTGAAGAAGGTACTTGATGGAGTGAACCGATATTGTCCATTTTCGCACCTAAATTACCACAAATGCAAATATTTGGATTTTTCAAAATCCGACCATACTTTCCTTTTTGTGCAGTAAAATATTTTTTTTGAATATTTTGAGCTGATAATTATATTACGATGTACCAAATTTGGACCAAATCGGCTACTCCCTTCGAGAGTTATCGTGCCCACCAGCCAGACATGCAGACGGACGGACGGACATAGCTAGATCGATTTTTTAGGAAAAATCACAAAAATTCTTAATTTTTTTAAGTATTTTAAGGATAGTCCTTCTGAGAAGAGTCAAAGCTATAATCAGTAAGGATTATGAGATTTAAAGTCATGGATTTTTCAGAAAATATAAAGGTAATTATTGTAGATCGTGGATTCCTTAAATACTACCACGGCTGTAATTACTTCGATAATCGATTTCGATGGATCTTTTAAAAAATTTCTTCTCTAAAATTGTGGGTCTTTAAATCACTACTAAGACCATAATTGAGGATATTCAAGGACTCCCAGCACTAATATAAAAAAACCTTTCATGAGGGGTACTCTGTATAGCTTAGGATCATGTGAGAGCTATCAGAACTGCAATTGTTGGACTATATACAGGATCATTTAAAGACTATTAGACCTATAATGCAGCACTTTTAAGGGCTATTAAAGGCATAATTGTGGCTATGGAGACTATTTTAGTAAATAATTTGGTTACTTTTAGGGTTATAATTGTTAAGCTTATAGGGATTATTTAATGAGAGTCATTGCAGCAATTGGGGGAGGACTATGAGAGTGAAATACCTGGATATTTTAAGGACTATCATCACTATCACCGTAAATCGTCGCAGCAAAACCTGGCCCATTGTTAAGTATTTTTATATGCAATTTGGGATAAAATCGAGAACTTTTCTAGAAGTATCATCGAACTATCATGGATTCTTTAAATTATATAAGAGCGATAATCACGGAACTCTTAAGGACCTTCAAGCCTATAATCCAGTCTATTTTTAGGCTATACTAAAGGACGTCATTCGGAGTGTCATCGTATGGATTTTTAAAGGACTATCAGCAGTATATTCGTGTATTCAAAGTCTATCAGGTCTGTAACCATAACTATTATTGTCGTGTATGGTTTATAGGACTATAATTGGATCTCTTAAGGATTATCTCAGTTATCTTTCAGGCTATAAATGTGGTTTATTAAACCTTTGAGGACCATACCGGACAGGGCCTTCTAAGAAGTATTTTCGATATTATCATGTTCTTTCATACCCTCCACCATAAATAGTATGAAGTGTGTATTAAATTTGTTATTTTTGTCAGTAACCCATCGTAATAATCATGTTAGACCCAACAAAGTAAATATATTATTGATTCCGTCCAGTTCAATTACGCGATAGGAAGCTAAGAATTCGCACAGAGCTATTTTTTGTCTGCAAGCAGATTAAATTCGAAGATGGGCTATATCGGTCCACGATATCATGTAGCTCCTTTAGGTCCTTAGCTGATATCCCCCACATAAAAGTCATCCCAATATTCAGCATTTTGATGATTTTTGTCGCGCATTTCAAGGATTTTTTAAGCATACCATTCCCTTAACCTCGGTCTATACGTCATAGGTCTTTACGACATTCAAATACGAAACTTTAAACAATTCCGGTGAATAATGTCGCTAAAATCATCATAATACTGAATACAGCGAGGTAGGGTTATATGGGGGCCATACGAAGTCCTGGGTCTGCATATGCAATTTTTTATCATAGGCTGTAGTACCCATTAGGAATTTTAATTACGAATCATCAAATAAAATCATCAAAATACTGAATATCTGAAAGTACAGTTATATAGGAGCTTAATGAAACCCTGGACCTGCCTATGCACAATTCTGGTGAGAAAAGTAGCCAAAATCATCAAAATACCGAGTGTAGGGAGGTACCGTTATACGAACACCTGCAATTTTCTGTCAGAGGAAGAAGTATCCATTAAGAACTTTAAATTGCAAATATGAAACATTTCCGGTGTAAAGGGTGACAAAAAATATCAAAAAACCATAGGTCTGTAGGAACAGTTTTACGGGAACTATATCAAAACTGTGACTAAAGCTCCCAAAACACTAAATCTGTCAGTACAGTTATATGGGGCTATACCAAAACGTGGACGTATATAGCCCATTTTCAATACCAAAAGTCCTGCAGAACAAACAAACATCTGAATAAAATTATTTCAATCCACCACATTTCGTTTGTTTCATTCGACTGCAGCGTTTTCCAGGCCAAAAAGACTTTGAACTTATCAGTTAAATTGGACCGTTTTTATGAATGTCCCGGGGGGTCCTGAAAGCCCTCAACTATTGTAGTATCAAAACCTGTCGGTTTCTATATTAGACGTTGCATTTAATTTGAAAATGAAGAATCAGAATTAAATGAAATGTATTGATGGCCGTGCCACTTGTTTCGAATCATACCTCGCCCGCTTGAGCTTTTTAGCCCCGTGAAATATAACTCGAGACAAGCTAATGGAGCTGGCTGGGACACGTTAACGAAGGTCGACTTTTGTATTCACAAATATCTGCCATATCCATAGTACATTTGCACTCCACTAGCCCTTGAATATTATTTTGTCGAAGTTTGTTAACGTTCATTAACATTTGTACCACTTCCGAATTCTATTATCGAAAAGTTGTTCAAAAATGCGTTCCACATGACTTGCGATACACATTTTTTTATCATTTAAATTCATAAAATGTGAAGAGTAGATATTTATACAATTTAAAATTTTCAATAGCATCAAACTATTAAAATCAATATTCGAAATATGATCCACGCAAATTTGTTAAAAAATTAAATAATTTTTGTAACAATACTTTCCGTATTTTCGTCTCGAAATTTTAAATTTACCAATTTAAAGTGTCAACATCATGATCCGGCATTTGCAAGTTTCGAAGTTTGCCGATTGAGTGTTAAAAAACGTGGCATCGTTTCGTTGGACATCACTTGTGGAATATATAAACCTCCAGTGACGAATGTATCGGTAAGCCAAGGATGTGTTGTGTTCGAAGTGAATGGAGAATCCGAAGACATATGTGGTCATCAAAGTTTAAATTTGATGACTTAGGTATATATATTTATACCCATAAAAAATATTTTGAATTTGAAAGAAATGTCTTCCGGTTAATATGAGATATGTACTCAGGCGTTTAAATAAGCTCTCAATAACAAAATTTTGTTATCAACATTTAATTCAAACCATTCCATTTACAGCTAAACATTGCGGTTTACAAACGTGCGAATGGCTATCGACCCTTTCTGTACAATGTAACTCAAGATATTTGCCAATACTTTCAACACCCCTATCGTTATCCGGTCCTGAGGGTATTATTATCGACTTTTGTTAAAAACTCCAATATAAATCACACCTGCCCATATAATGTAATTTGTTCATTTTTTTTTCTGAAATTATATTTATTTAAGTTACTAATATATTTTCTATTTTAAATAGCATGACATTATTGTCAAGGATTTGGTATTCGATGAACAAATGTTCAATCTTCTACCCCTGCCCGATGGTGACTACATGTTTAAATTGATTGTCTTTGCCTACAATGATCGGAAAGCTACCGTCAACGTCATGTTCACAATATCCCAATAAATGGCGTATTTAGAGTTCACAATGCAAAAATAAAAAATCAAATAATGTTGGTATTCTTTTTATACCCTCCCACTTGGAAAGGAGGGTTTATTAACTTTGACACTCTGTTTGTAACATCCCTAAATATTTATAATAGTCCCCACAAAGTATATATATTCTAGATCAGCGTAAAATTCTAAAACGATCTAGCGATGTCCATCTGTCTGTCTGTTGAAATCACGATACAGGCCAAAGAGCGTCAAAATTAAGCAGAACAATTTGTATGGTGTCTAGGATGGTTGGTATTGAAAATTAGATATATCGGTCCACGTTTTGGTATTTTGTTGATTTTTACCACATTTTTGCACGGATTTGGGTGAAAATTGGTATTTGTAGGTCATAATGGGTCCTAGTTGGTGTGGCGAAACATTGTATGTATAGGTCAAACTGTGGTATAGCCCCCATATAACGGAATCTCCTGGTATTCGGTATTTTGATGGTTTTTGTCACATTTGTTCAAGGTTGTATAGAAATTGGTATTTGTTGGTCATAATAGGTTCCAGCTCCGGTGGCGAAACAACGTTTTGGTATAGCTCTCATATAACAGTACCTCTCGATATTCGGTATTTTGATTATTTCAGCGACATTATTTAGCGGAATTATTTCAAATCTCGTATTGGGTGATGTTAATGGTTACTACAACCTATAGGGAAAAATTTCGTATGCAGGTCCACGTCTTCGTATAGCCTCTATATAACGATACCTCCCAATACTCGATATTTTTAGGATTTATGCGACATTGTAACAAATTTTGTATTTGAAGTTCGTTGTGGGTACTACAGGCAATGACAGAAAATTGTCTGTGCAGGTTCACGTCTTCATAGAGTCCCCATATAACGTAACCTGCCGATATTCGCTATTTTGATGATTTTAGCGATATTATTCGTCGGAATTGTTTCAAATTTGGTATTTCAAGTTCGTAATGGGTGCTACAGCCTATAACAGAAATTTTTGTATGCAGGTCTACGTCTTCGTATAGCCCCCATATGACGGTACCTCCCAATACTCGGTATTTTTACGATTTGTGCGACATTGTTTATTCGAATTGTAACAAATTTCGTACTTGAAGTTCGTAATACTACTGCGTACGACAAAAAAATTCGTATGTAGGCTCACATTTTCGTATACCCCCATGACCTGCCGATATTCTGTATTTTGATGATTTCAGCGACATTATTCACCGAAATTGTTTCAAATTTGCTATTTGAAGTTCATAATGGGCCTATGACAAAATTTCGTAAGCAGGTCCACGTCTTCAATTTTTTTTTTTTTGTTGAACATTTTTAAGTTCCTTCCTAATGGTGAAGGGTATTAAAAGTTCGGCCGGCCGAGCCCCATCAGGGGGTTGAACTTACGATCTTCTGATTGGTAGTCGGGCATGCGTTTAGCCGCTGTTACGAATATTAATTGATGTCTTCCTATTATACCCTACGAGCAAAACGTGCCTCATCGAAATAACGCTTTATGGAAACCATGTCTCTTTTGACCAAATCCATTTTGGACATTTGAAGTCGATCTGGGATTATTCGTCCATCTGTTTGGTTGTTGCCCATAATAACACCCGCAGGGGTTTATCTGATATGGTTCAAACTTAGTATATCATAATATTATTATAAAACTTAGTTGGACCGATGGTCAGCTTCTGTCCACTACTTCCGGTACCTCCCCACGAAAAGTCAAAATTCTCAAAGAAAATAATATAACTCATAGAAAGAGAAAGTATCATCCGATTTTATTCAATCTTTGAAAATCCTATAAATAACCCAATTCAGTTCTCTCCATCTACCGCAACGGTTTTTAAAATATGAAGAGGAGTCAAATTATATTCAAATTTCGAGTAATCCATAAACTGCACCCATTCTAAGTTTGGTATAAAATGATATTGATCAGACCAAAATTTTGAATGCAAATGCTAAATAAGCTTACGATTCTTTTTAAACTTGGCAACCACGTCGGGGGCATTTGCTCTATATAAAAAAGCTAAAAAGTATGTGTCGGTTTTGCCGACAGATGTATACGCTCAGCCACTGTTCGTTTATTTACATATATTTTTAACTATACTTCGCATTTGCAAGCGTTTTGCTTATTCAAAATGTTGACCCTCTGTGGTAGGTACCAGAAGGAGTGGACCGGCATATTCCATTCCAGGTCTTGTGTTATTATAAATATTTGAATGTGCAACATTTTAAAATAATCAGATGCTAATTTCACGTTTTATGGGTTTCATAGTTATTCAAAATCCCTTTGTGGGGGAGATATCAGAAGGAGCGATATATTCTATGTTCACAGTGTTAGTAAAAATATCAAGCTGTGTGAAATTTGAAGAGAATCGGATACTTATTTCGCCTATTATAGAAGACCCTTTGGAGGGAGGGGGGATGAGATACCACAAGGAGTGGTCATATATATTCCATCTTCACATCAAGTCTTATGTGAGTAGAAATATTTGGATGTGTGAAATTTTAAAAGAATCGGATGCTTATTTCGTATTTTATAAGAGTTATAATAATCCAAAATGTTGACCCATAGTGGGGGAGGTACTTGATGGTGTGGGCCGATATTGTTCATTTTCCCATCTTACCTAGCACTGATAGAATATTAAGTTTTGCAAAGTGAAAATTGAATGATCCTTTCTGATTGTATACCGAAAATTATTTTCTGTGAAAATGTTGAGCATCCGAACTCGATCTAAGTTTGACAATAGTTTTACGATGTATCACATTTGAATCAAATCGGATGCTCACTTCGAGAGATATCGCGCGCACCAGCCAGACAGACAAACGGACACCTCTAGATTGACACCAAATGTCCTGAAACGGGTTTAGTCCTCTGTGGTCGTATTGCTGAGAGTAGAAAAATTTTAGACAAAAGTTGTGGTAAGCTTTTGTCCTATCTAAATTTCTAGATTGGTCTTTCATTTTGGCCCTCAAATCAGGAAAATGTTCAGATTTTGGTCCATTTTCAAATATTAAATTTTTTGAGAACATTTTAACAAAAACAATAGGTTTCCCTCATATTAAGGCTATTAAGCCTATAATCGTTCTTTTTATAGCCCACCTTAGCTTATGATACTCTAGTCTCGTCATGGTACTCCTTAGACATAAAGTAGCATAGGGAAAACTTGAGGAAGTGTTCTAATGGCTTTATACATTTTGAACAATTATGTCCTATTGAATTTTCTTTAGTGCTGATCAATAATATATTCTAGCGCACCAGTCTAATTTTTCCCAATTCGTTTAAGCTAGGAACGAACCATCTCTTATTTGGTTTAGCTAATCAGGCATTCGCCTCCTCTATGTATCTTTTAGAGGGACATCCATCAACGACTGCCCTTGCGCTCAAGGATCTGCACATGTGGTGCAGTTCACCGATTTTGAGAAGTATGAGATTCACATGTTGCAAAAATTAAACCAAAATCTGTAAATCAGAACGAATACACTTCGAGCAATTCCGGACTGGGATCAGGCGTTGTTAGTCGTTTCAATTTATTTCGAAAATGAATCCACCGAAAACTGGAAAGACGAGCATCCGAGTCAATGAGTATCGATCAACCGGTCTTAGATACCCCAGTGTAACTTTTCCCGAATCAATGAGCAACAGGGTAGGAATAGTGAAAATATTCCACTAGATAAGCCAAGAACGCCAACTGGTACATGCCAATAGAGTTCGATTTTTGTTGTTGTGGGAACCACATTCCTTTCATAGCTAACATATGGAAGTAGCCCGGCAGTGGATTATGTTAAAAGAGGCTCACCGTTTACTAATATTTCTCTTGCCACTTTGAGGTCTGCATACTTTAGAAAACCAGAAGACATTGACATTTTTCAAATTTCTTAGGCTTAAGCTGTACAGGGTTGCCCATATTCGAAGGACCTTTGGGCCCTTTAGGCCCATTCCAATCGACGAGGCTTGTCCGCAGGCAACATTCTTTGCGTCAATTGAATTTTGTACGGGAACAAATGCAAATCAATGCGAATAATCCGTTGTAAAGTGGACCGAGCCATGCCCAACTGCTGAGAACGGCGTTTTTGGGATGTTCTTGGGGACCTCTCAACACTGGCTCGTACGGCAGCGATATTCTCGGCCGATCGCCTTGGTCGACTTTTATATGGCCTCTTCGGATTAGAAAGAGCCTTACCAGTCGAAAATTTTTCGTATAAACGCTTAATGGTGTTCTTAGAAGGCGAACTTCTCACATTTTTTAATGTTTTAAAAGCACGTTGAGTTTTCACAATTGACTTCTTCTGTTGAATGTAAATTTCAACTATTTCAGAGCGCTCGCGTGGCGTGTATTGGTTCATGGTACAAATCTGCTTGGACTGACGCTTCAAACGCGGTATGTCATTAAGCGATGTGACATCTCTGTCAAAAGTTATGGCGTTGCCAGATGGGTTCGTCGAATATGGGCAACCCTGTTCAAACATGTCCGCTGTGGTAAGAGCTATAAATTTTGAAGGAATCACAACGGGTATCTAAAATGTGGATTATTTGCATATCATATCTAAAAATTTTATGAAATTGAAAATGGGGTATATGGGTCCAGGTTTTCGGAGAGCCCAAATATAGATAACTCCATATATTTGGCTTTTTTACGGTTTTAGCCACATTTAAATGGATTGTTTCAAAAGTTTGTCTGCTCTCATCAAATATTCCTAGAGACACGCCATATTTAAATTTATTTAACATCCCATTAGCCCATGACCATTATTTTGTTGTATTGTGTAAAAGAGTTCTAGCTTTTTATCGATTTATTTTTCATTTTATCCAAAATCTCTACAAAAATTCGTTACAAATGACCAACGATTTTAATTATTTTGTAATTAAAATTCATTAAAATCGATTTATTTTAATTTACCGACAAAACATTAAATTAATTGAAAAGCGTTGAATGGCCTCGAACAGTGAAATTAATATTTTTATGTTTAATTTGATTTAAAACATTTGGATACCACCAACGTTGTTTAGAAATCAGGCGCTTCAAAAAAAATCTTCCACGCAAAATGTTTAACAATTTATGTACTCCTTGCATTAACATCCTCAGTATTTTCGTCTCGAACTTTTAAATTTACCAATTTAAAGTGTCAAGATCATGATCCGAAATTTGCACGTTTCGAAGTGTGTCAACTGAGTGTTAAAAAACGTGGCATCGTTTCGTTGGATATCACATGTGGAATATATAAACCACCAGTTACGAATGTATCAGTAAGCCAAGGATGTGGGATGGTTGAAGAGAACGGAGATTTGGAAGACTAATTTGACATTCTGATAAAAAAAAATCTTATAATATTCATGAAAATTTGTAGAAACATTTTGAAAATTGTCTTCTTGTTTGTTTGTGCTCTGGAATCCTATTCCAGGCTTTATCTGTAGATTTCCAAACTAAATTCTGGTAATTATTATTTCATCCCCAATTTTCCATTTCCAGCTAAACATGGCGATCTACAAACGTGCAAGTGGCTATAGACCATTTCTGTACAATGTCACCAATGATATTTGCAAATTTTTTCAACACCCCTATCGTTATCCGGTGCTAAGGGTTTTATTATCGACTTTCATGAAAAATTCCAATATAAATCACACCTGTCCATATGACGTAATTGTTTTCATTTTCCTTAAGTTATATCTACTGAAGTAACTAATAGTTTATTTTTTATTTTAAATAGCATGACATCATTGTCAAGGATTTGGTATTCGATGAGCATATGTTCAGTCTCCTGCCCCTGCCCGATGGAGAATACATGTTTAAATTGATTGTCTTTGCCTACAATGATCGGAAAGCTACCGTTAGTGCTATGTTCCAGGTATCTGAATAAAAGAAGCATTTCCCTTAAAGACAATTCATAAAGTTAGTTGCCCTTCAGGAATAACCGTAAAATACCAACCTGTAAGGTGTGTTATTTGGAGAGTCTGCTAATATATAACTTGCCGGTCAGATAAAATCTTTTATATACAAATTTTAAATAAATGAGTAGAATCTGCGACTCAAACCTAGCTTTGGACTTCGCAATAGTCTTTTCAAACTAAGTTCAAAGGGTAAAATGGGAAATAGAGGGTGATTTTTAGCCATTATTTTTTTTTGGCAACATAGGTGTTAACTAGCTCACGCAAATTTCACTTTCACTGTCGAACATTTTCAGTTTGGCTTAAAATTGTGAATTTTATTATCAAAATGCATTCTCTGGCAAGAAAGTTTGAGCAGTGCTGATCTAAATCAAGCAGGGGCATTTTCTCCCAAGTATCTCTACAATGAACTGCCGTCCCCTAACGTTTATATATTGCGAATCCCCAAACCGTATTCGAAGATCTGTACATAAACATCCCAACCACCTACATCGTAAACCCCGATTATCGACAATCATCAGCCCAATCATCATTCACTGAAGTTCTCAATTACCTTCAAATAGTCAACATCACGTCACTAAGAACACCAATCTCGCTATTCCTGATAAAAATCTTCCCGTCGATGACCATAACTTAGCGATTACTTTCAAATCGTCACCATTCCGGACGCCAGTGTCACCCTAACATAAATACAGGGTTGCCCATATTCGACGGACTCATGTTTTGTTATGCGACTTGTGTGCGGTGGAGCGCCGTCTTGTTGAAACCAGAACTGCCTCATACGCTTTCGACGAATAATTGGCATCACAAAATTGGTCATCATGTCGCGATAACGCTCCTGATTGATGGTAACAGCATGGCCATTTTTCTTTTGGAAGAAAAACGGCCCAATGACCGTTTTCGCACTAACGCCGCACCAATCTGTGACTTTTTCGTCATGAAGAGGCACTTCTTGAATCTCCTGAGGATTTTCAGTGGCGTAAAAACGACAATTTTGCTTATTTACGGTCCCTTAGAAGGCGAACTTCTCACATTTTTTAATGTTTTAAAATCACGTTGAGTTTTCACAATTGACTTCTTCTGTTGAATGTAAATTTCAACTATATCAGAGCGCTCGCGTGGCGTGTATTGGTTCATGGCAAAAATCTGCTTGAACTGACGCTTCAAACGCGGTATATCATTAAGCGATGTGACATCTCTGTCAAAAGTTAGGGCGTTGCCAGATGGGTCCGTCGAATATGGTAAGTTTTGATCTTCTGCACCAATAAAAATCTGGCTATCATCCGCTCTATTCCCCTATACCTTTAAATCCTCATTATCATGAACGGCAGCATCACCCGAACACAAACATCGTGGTTGCGGACCACATTTCACATCAACCACTCGAGTAGCAATCGTGAACAAACCGACATCGCTACATCATAGAAAGAAGTAAAGACATCTTTGCAATTTCATCGAATTCCTATCATCAATTGAATAACTTTACTTGGAATTCTCCAGCATCCCTCAGTCATATGGCTAGAGAGGGTATATATCATGTAATACGGCCAAAAAGTGCCTCATCGATATAACCCTAGGTCTCTTTGGACCAAATCCGTTTCAGGACATTTGAAGTCGATTTAGCGATGTCCGTCCGTCCGTATGTCTTTCAGGCATGAGCGCACTCGAAGGAAGTATACAGATTGGTCCAAACTTGGTACATCGTAATATTATGATCGAACTTAGATTGAGTTAAGAGATGGACAATATCGGTCTACTCCTTCTGGTACCTACCAAACAATAGGTCGAGATATTCTAAAAAGAAAAAAAAAACTGCACAGGAAGAGAAAGGATAATCCGATTTTGCTCCAACTTTGCAAATCTAATATTTGCAAGGATGCGAAAATCAATTACTCCCCCACAAAGGGTCAAAATTTTGAATAATTATAACTCTTATAAAATGTGAAGTAAGAGTCCGATTGTCTTTGAAATTACACACATCACAATATTTTCATCAACCCAAGGTCTGGTGTGAAGATGGAACATATTGGTCCACTCCTTCTGGCACTTCCCCCAGTAAAGGGTTAACATTTCGAATACCCACGACATAATCATCAAACTCTCTTTATATTTCACAAATCTCATTATATCTACTTACGAAAGATCTGCTGTGAAGGTGGAATATAGCGGCCCACTCCTTCTGGTACCCGTCTCACAAAGGTTCAAAATTTGTAATATCCTTGAAGCTCATAAAACGCGGAATTAACATCCGATTACATTCAGACATGATACATCCCAATATTTCCATCAACACAAGATCCACTATAAATATGGAAGAGATCTGACCATTTCTTCTGGTGCCTCCCCTACATAACAGTATCCAACTTGTTAGCCGAAAATGCAAGAGCTCGACTTATTTTGGTATAACCCCCATATAACTTCACCTACATATTTTAGTCACAATTTTAACCCGAATTCGTTGTAAATTGACAGCATGTGTTTCCATTATGTAGGAAACATCCTGGCATAGAACTGTCAATACAGGTCTGAATTTTGATATAGTCCCCATATAACTATACCTCCCTATTTTCGGTATTTTGATGATTTTTGCGACATTACCCACTTGAAATTGTTTAAAATTTCGTATTTGAAGTCCCTACTACCATCTGTGACAGAAAATTGCCTCTCTTGACTTGCATGACATGTGCTTTGAACAAAACGGTGCCACATCCCACTTAGCCCGACTAACAATGGACGAGTTCCGTGAAACTAGCTATCACGTCCGGTACATTTCAATTTACCGCCAAGATCGTACGATGTATCTACTTTAGACTATTTTTGGGGGGATTTGTTTAAGTTTATGTCTATACAGACGAGACCACTTCGACTGAGGCATTGGTAGAACACATCGAAGCATTTATTCGTGAATGAAATGTTGGAAAGACAGTGGTAAAATTGGACTAAACATATAGACGTTATACCTCTGTATGGGATGGCAATATCAGTTTGTTTAGGACTGAAACTTCCCGGGACTCTGAGCCGATGAGTCGGTACCTAGTGTCTATGGAAACCCTAAAATCACTCTAGGTGTTGCAATTGCCATGGCGCAATATCATAAAAGTATAGAGCCCGTTTAGCAGAATGTTATGTTCGTGAAAGCTCATATAAACTCCCCTACTTCTGTCCAACTAAAAGAAATCCCAATAAACTACACATTTAACAAAGTTACACCCTTTATTACAAATGGCTCCTTGATTTAATGTGTGATGGCTGCGGTGTCTTGGTTATTATTAGTCAGATCGTCATGTTTGGTGAGATTGACTTGACATGTGTAACATTTTTCTTTGATATTCGAAACGAATTTGGACCAACTGGCCACACGACCCATTATCCAATATCCGTCGACCATAACAAATAAATGTGGAAATAACGGTAAGGTCTCTTTGATAGTTGCCGTTTGGTCTTCATTTAATTTTCTGATTTGTGGTGTTGTTGTTGTTGCTGTTGTTACTAATGATTTAAGCATTTCCATGAAATTTCTCACATTAACACCAACACCAACCAAAACCAAAACCAAAGGTAGCTTCAGTTTCAAATAAACTATTGTAGGCTTCCTACAACAATTCCAAGAACACACAATCAGTCACCTACTCGCTAAGGCCGACAATCAGTCAGTCAGTCTGTCGGTCGGTCGGTCGGTAACTTTTCATGCTACACAATTATGATCTAATTCGTTTTCTGTTTTGTTGTTTTTGTTGGTAGGTTGGTTGGTCGCACTGACCCACAAACTCATTCACATGTTAACAACATTTTTACGGGGGCCCATGGCAACAAGAATCATGTATCGAAATAATTGTGGCCAAAGAGAAGTGGAAGAGAAAAAAAATACAATAACAACATTGAATTCCAATAATGTGAAAAGCTAATAAAACTAAAGCCAAAGAAAAGAAAAGAAAAGAAAACGTGTTTAACACTTTACCCATAATTTGGTAAACTCATCAAAGGGATAAAGAAATCATGAAGATGTAACGACCTTAACCTTTGGGGGAGAACTTTTGCATTCCATAGGAATACAAGAGACAAAGCAGGTAGAGGAATTAGTTAGTTTTAAGGAACAGAAACACAAAACTAGAGTAATGGGAGCAAAATGTGTAACGGGGGGTTTTTGAATGTCCATGATTGTAGTCCTGATAGTTCTTTAGAAATTGTTAAAAAGTCCTAGATTTCAACCCTGACAGTTTTGAAAAAAAAGACAAGTAAAGAAAGGTCAAAAGTCGGCCGGGCCGACTTTATGATACCCTACACCACTTTGCTAATTTAGTAGAGCTCCACATAACAATTAAAAGTTTTTATGGGAGAATTCAGTCATACACGCTATGATTATAATTATAATTTAAAGTTTAAAGGACTAAATATGCCGAAGCAGTTCTATCTTTTATATTCGGACTTGTATTGCCCATTTGGTGCACAATTAATTTGAAATCGGATAAATATATATTAGGGAACTATATCCAAATCGGAACCGATCTCGATAAAATTTTGCAAAGATATTTCTGAGCTGTATTTGATACATTTCCCTGAATATCGTTGTTACGAAGTTCATATTACGGCTGTGGGTAACAAATATAACAAATCGGATGAACAGTATATATGGGAACTATAGCTATATCTGAACCTGAATATTCACCAAATTTGACATACTAGCTTCTAGACTCAATTCGATTGCATGTGCCAATTTCCATCCTATTTGGACAAATATTAGACGCTTGGTGCACAATAAAAGGTAAATCGGACGAAGTTATATATGGGAGATATATCCAAATCCGAACCGATCTCGTTAAAATTTAATAAAATTTTGCAAATGTATTTCTGGACTGTATTTAATATATTTCCCCAAATATTGTTGTTACAGAGTGCATATTACGGCCGCGGAGGACTAAAATAACAAATCGGATGAACAATATGTATTGGAGCTATAGCTATATCTGAACCG